GGCTAGCGTTGCTTTCTTCGCTGTTAATTATAAAGACTTTGTTCTGCCAGATAATTCGCCATTGTATAATTACATTTTCTACCGTGACGTTCGAATTATAAACACTTTTATTGATAAAAATTTTACTCCATATGTTAGAGTTGGATTCAAACCAAGTAGACCCGTTAATTGGACTAAGGGTGAGCATCTGATCTACGGTACCTTTGTATTATTATTCAAAGTTAAAACAGAATCTGGTAATATATCTGTCGATACGTCAAGTATGATCTGGGCAATGGTCGAACATTTTAGCCTCGATGAAGTCAGATCTCATAGTATTGCACCACAAGAAAGTTGCGTGGGATTAAACTTTTTCGACTCAGAATTCGACAAGCTTGATCTTAACGGTAAATATGTTATGCTGGAATCAACATTGAACTATGCTTCAATAAGACCAGTAATGGAATGGCTCAAAGAACCAAGTAATGGTATTCAACGAATTTCTCCATTATCTCGAGAATTATTTACGTGTGTTCTCGATAAGTCTACCCCGGATTACCTTGAGAACGTTTCCTTTGATATTACTTCAATATTGGTCGATCAAAAACAACCTGTCATTCCTAAGAGCCGAGCTGATTGGCCAAATTATTGGACTCCATATAGCTCCCCAGCATATAACATGGAATTTTCTTGTGTGCTTGCTTTAAGGCAAATAATTTCAAGAAAGGTTGCCGTGATCGTGGCACCAGTTGTTACTTCGAAAGCACAAGTTGCTGCAAAAGCTGTTGAGTTACTTAAGCAGGCCATCAAACAGAGTCATTGTTTCGAGCCGATTCTCATCCTTACACGTAGTTCATATGCTCTTGACAGTATTTTGGAGCAATTACTTCCTTCTTTCCCAGACCTAATTCGCTGTGGATCGTTCTCGAAATATAGTAATCCTGATCTAAAAGCACGTCAAATTCATGGTGTTGCAAATGAACATTTAATTTTTAGACGCAGTTCTGTTCAATTACGTAGAGAATGGCTGAAAATTCGCGAAAGAATGAGTAATGAACAAAGAACGCTAGAAGATTTGTGGAAATTTAGGAGATCTGCTTTGACATTGGAATATTTTGCCGAAACGTGTCCCAGAACGTTCCGCGAACAATTAATTCCTGCGAAATTAAAGAATTGTGAATATAAGAACCTTGGATTTGAGTCAGAAAATGCAATGGTTGTACGTTGCTTAGAAAATTGGTTAGAAGGAGAGTCCGAATTGAATACGTTTGACAATATTTTCAAATTAAAGAATAATTCATCTGATACTAAAGCTAATAAAAGGGGTCCTTCGAAAAAAGATTTCCCCGCTTTTCCACCTTCAAATAGTTCTAATAACCAAAGAACTAGCACATCTTTTCCCACAAAGTCTCGCGTATGGACTAATGTTGTTACTAACCAAGGTTTTGATGATAACAATCCAGGTACGATTTGTTCGCTCCAAATATTCTTAGCTTATCCATTAACAACTCTAATTTATTATTAGTAAAAGAAAAGTCACATAATAATGGTCAACCGCATCATAAAGATTCTCAAGTTGTATCATTGCTTACGGAACTCTCTAAATCATACTTATTCGAAAACGATAAGATGAACAATGAAGATGATATTTCTACCCCTTCTGACTTTGATAAGGAAATCTTGGAACATCAGATTAATGACCGTGTTATATGCAAGTGTGAAGAGGATCAAGAACTTAAACCGGAAGGTCAAAATTACAAATATCAAATTGATTTCGCTAGTGTTTCGAAAAAATTTTGGAGTAAAAGTGGAAAGGGAATTTGGTCCATGACATCAAGCGAGCGAAGATTGTTATATAATAGGTTTCGTCAGCATCATCTTGAATTCTGTGATTCAGAAATTAGGGAACGTCAAAAGAAAGCGATATTGGAAGCGGAAAAGTTAGAAACTACTCAAGTTGCGAGATGGACCGAAGTGTGCAATTTCGCTCCAGTGATCGGAATGACCTTTAATTATGCTACGGCATATCGTGAAGTCCTCGCCTCTGTTAAGCCGAGAGTTTGTATTGTGGACGAAGCCTCAGAAATTTCTGAAGCACATTTAATGTCATTAATTTCTTCCAATAGACTTGAACATTTGATAATGTTTGGTGATAACCAGCTTTCAAAGCCTAACGTCAAGAGTAAGACCGCTCAAGAACACGGTTTAGACGTGTCCTTATTTGAAAGATGGATCGAATGTGGTGGGGACCATGTTAATTTGAAACAACAGTCTCGCATGCATCCATCGGTTCATGAACTTGTTCGTACGCTTTATAATAACGTTGACCCGACGGAACATAGCGTAGCAGTAAATATTCCCAAAATCATGGGCGTCCCTTCTCATGTGTTTTTTATGACACATAACAACTTTGATGAAAACTGGAAAACAAACACGTTTGAAGCGAAGTTTGTTGCCAGCTTTGCTTTTTATTTATATCAACAGGGATATGACCCAGCAAGAATAACAATTTTGACACCTAATGTGAATCAGCAAAAATTAATTTTGGAATCATTGAAACCAGAATTAAAAAAAGAGCCAGGTCAACACCTGCCTTATAACATTCATGGACGATTGGACAAAGAGAAAACCAAAGCAGGAAAAATTCAAGTTAAATTGATTGACGAACATAATAATGATGAGAACCAAATCGTTTTACTTTCGTTAGTAGCGGTAAGCGAAAAATGGTACGAGGAAGCTTTCAAGGTGTTAAATGATAAAAAGCGAGTAATTATAGCATTGTCAAGGGCACTTCATGCTCTTTATATCTTTGGTAATGAGAAAATGCTTCAGAAAAGTCAAGTATGGTTTCCAGTTATTGAAAAGTTAAAGACTATACGTAAGTATTTTATCTTATTAATTTCCTTTAATCATTTAAAGAAATATACTTTCATTAAGGAGATTATCTTTCTTTATTTAAATAGCTAATGCATATGGTAGAAGCCTAACTCTCGATTGCAACACCCATATTAATAAAAAGATTGACATCACAAATGTTAAAGATTTTGATACTAAAGTTCCATATGGAGGATGTTCGGTAAATATTTTATTTTATTTTTTAATAGTTTTTTGTTTTTTTTTTTTTTTTACTATTTTTTTCTCCTTCGATAATGTGAAATGTTTACAATTATTACAGGAACCATGCCACGGTTTGTTAAAGTGTGGGCACGCATGTCAAAGAAAATGTCACCCTATCCACCATACAAAAGAAGTAGAATATATTTGCTCTCGACAATGCGGTGGCCAACATAGGCCTCAAAAATGTGAACATGATTGTCCTAAGAAATGCCATGAATGTGAAAAGGCTGGAAAATGTCCTCCATGCGAACACCTTGTCGATTCCACTTTACCATGTGGACATATAAAATCTATACCATGTCACCAGATGAATACAGATCACTCAAATCGTGGTTGCGAAGAGGATGTGTGTCTGAAATTACCATGTGGACACAAACATAGGGTTAAATGCTACCAGAAAGATAACGAAGAAATTATAATGACTATGGAATGCAAAGGAATGAAATTATTCACTTTTGCCAACTGTAACCATAGTATTAAATTACCATGTAGCACAAAGTCTCCCGTATGTCAAGAAACCTGCGGTAAGATGTTCGATTGTGGACATCTTTGTCAGCGTCAATGCGGAATTGAACATTCTCATGAAAGATCTAATTGTACACGCGAATGTCCAAAAGGTTTAATTTGTGGACATCAATGCGCGAACGGTTGTAGCGAACCTGATCGCCATACCTCCTTCTGCATTAAACCATGTCGTATTAAGTGTTTACATGGTCATGTATGCCCCAAAACTTGCCACGAAGAATGTACAAAATGCCTTGAGCCTTGTCCATGGAAATGCCCACACTATGTATGCAACAAAAGATGTTATGAATTTTGTAACCGACATCCATGCAATAAGCGATGTCCTAGAGTATTAAAATGCTAGTAAGTATTCAACGACATTTATTTTATTTCTTATTGAACGGTTAATAATGGATTATATTTTATAGTCATGAATGTAATGGTTTTTGTGGTGAAGTTTGCCCGCCTTGTTTGAAATGTAATCCCAATAAGCAATGTAGTATAACGCTTCAAAGCTTCTCCGAAATAAAAGATTTTGAACGTCTTTACATGCTTCCAGAATGTCATTGTGTATTCATAGCAGAAGGTCTTGACATGTACTTTAAAAATCAAGTAAAAAATGGTAAATTTGAATTGATCTATGTTTAATTGTCTTTATTTAAAGTTGAACTTAAATATTTATCATTTTTGTTTACTTTTGATTAGGCGAACATACAGCAGTCAAACTTTGGCAGTGTCCCAATTGTCAAGAACCTATTTTTACAGCAATGAGATATAACCGTTACTTAAAGACTGAAATTAATCTCTGGAACGTAATAAAATGCAAACAAGAATCGGCCCGAAGTTTGATTTCGGCAGAAGAACGAAAGCAAATAATAGATGCAATGAATGAAGAAACACGAACCGCTGATTTCAATAGTATGGTTGGTGGTAGATGGTTTGTCTGTCCAAATAACCATCCTTACTATATTGGAAATTGTGGTGGTGCTACTCAAGTCTCTCACTGCCCAGATTGTGGATACGTTATCGGTGGGACTCAACATCGAGTGGTCCCATCAAACAGATTCTATGGCGAATTTGATAACAGTGCATCGCCTGCTTGGCCTGGGCAGCATTAGAAGTTTTTTTCGATTATATATTGTAATTGTAATTTAATAATAATGATATTTTATAATGCATTTGTTCACAATGATTTATTACATGGTGTTAAGTATAATTCTAGCCGTAATAAGGTAATTATGCTGGTGGTTGATACCTATATGATGTCGATGAAACGTGTTTAAATAATCGAAGTCACATTGCCTTTGAAAAAATTGTTTATTTTTTTACCCTAAAGTATTCTCTAAATTCGGAATCGCTTTAGAACAGAGATAAATAGTTATCACAGGTTCCCGTGACCTTTAATTATAAATCATGTATATAAGAATAGCTTTCTTGTATGAGCAAATATCAACTGTTGTTTGTACTTGCCCATCATCTTCATTATCCAAAATCATTTCGTAATCTTTGTCCTTCTCTCTGTCTTCATGTGTTAAGAAATTTCGTCCAATTTGAGTATATTGATGTAAAGATCCATCTAGCTTTCGTTTAATTATTTCTACTACAGTAATAGCCTTGTTAATAGCTGGACCTTTTCCTGAGAATACAACTATAACATTTTCGTCCGTTTCACGTGATTTCTCATCCTTAAATTTTCACATTTTTTAGTTTTTTTTTTTTTTTTTTTTTTTTTTTTTTTTTTTAAATCAAAAAAAAAATACTTACCTGAAATATTGATAAAGCAATTTCGATATATTTTTTTATTTTACCTGATCGAATTATTTTAATTGATTTTTTAGGTTGAATTACTTGTTGAAACTCATTATTCTGTTGCGGATCCAAACCTTTAATTATACTTGTATTAAATTTATTTTTCGAAGGTTTATTTTGTTTAGAAGTTGACATTGAATTAGTTTTAATTGAAGATATATATATATATATATATATATATATATTTTTATAAAAAAAAAAAAAACTAAACAAATTCCGTGTAACGTTATTTCAAAAAGTTTGTACTACGTTATTAAATTTAACTCAAAAGCAGGAAATTTCGCAAAATCTGCCGGCGTTTATTTTAAAATCTGCCCTATCATTCTGCGGATATTTTATTATATTAATTATAATTTCTGCGAAAACAAAAATTTTTATTAATTTTATTATCCCAAAAAAATTTAATTGCCATTAAAATACATCATATTTAATTTTTTTCAAAGAATCTTCTGAAAGGTTTTTGGCGATTATTATCTAAAATATTATAAATTGAGAAACTTCTTTCTACACTACAGGTAACCAAATATAATTAAGTGCAATTTTTGAAAGAATTGGTAATTTATCTTCAAGATTCATCCAATATTTTTCTAAATCAATTTCTTCAACTAAATTTTCTAATTAAAGCAATTTATCAAAAGGATTTGCTAATTCTCTAATAACATTATAATTACACAAATTTTTTCTTTCCAAAATACCAAGTAATATATATTTAGGATCAAAAATTTGAGCAGCTTGAAAAGAGGATGTGCAGAATGTGAAGAAATATAAGAATTAAATTTGTATCAAGCTTCTCTAAAATCTGATTGAAAAATAAGATAAAATTCATATAAACTAAAATTATAAGAAGTAATAGTAACATCAAGTTCTAAATCAAAATTTAAAGAATTACAATAGCTTTCTAAAAATGCAGTAAGATAATAAAGTCATCCTTTTACTAAAGGAAATATAGGTTTATTTTGTATTTGAAAAAAATTAATATCTTGTATAAATTATTTAGGTGCTATCTAAAATTTCAAAATCTAAAATCTCAAAAAATCAAAATCTCAAAATCTAAAATCCTGAATTATACAAATCTCAAAATCCAAAATCTCAAATGGTAAAAAATCTTGAATTTTCCTTAATAAATTTTTCATGTATAACTAAGCTTGCTTTCTGATTAAAGCATATATTACGGCATAATATTACCAAAATTATTAATGTGTATATCATATAATTTTATTAAAAATTTTTTTATTACAAAGTTGTTAAAATCACAATTCATCTTATCAATAGTTTAATATTTACTTATACAATAAATGAATAAAATTTTCAATCGGAAAGAGTTTTACTTATACAAATAAATGAAAAAAATTTTCAGCAGAATTATTTTCAGATAATTTGAATCTCACTTACAATATATATTACTAATTTAAAGTAATTTTACGTGACCCACCTACGATATACTAATTTAAAGTACTTCTCATAACCATTCAGAATTTTGAATTTTGAGATTTAAAATTTGAGATTTTGAACCTTTCAAGATTTAGAATTTTAAGATTTTGGCTTTTTGAGATTTTAGATTTTGAGATTTCATAGCATATCTAATTATTTTATATATATAGAAATAAAATGAATAATAATTGAAATAACATTAACATTATAAAAATTAAACAGTGTTTGTAAAGAGTTATATTATTTGAATCATTAATTAATTTGTCATGAAAAAAAAAATTTCAATATGAAAAATATATTTTAGTATAATTAATCATTTTAAACTATAAGTTCCAATGTATAAAAATAGAAAGAAAAATTTTATAAGAAGAAGTTATACTATATAAGCGAAAATATATTAAATATTTACATCTTCTTATTAAATTACAAATAAAACATTCTTTTATTTTAATCAAATTTTTAAAAGAATCAAATTTTTATCATATTTTAAAATTTAATTAATAATATTATTATTTAATATAATAAAATATATAAAAAAAATAAATTTAATATATATGCATAATAAGATACATGATAAATTAATTAAGGCATAATAGGATATAATGCTTCATAAAATAATTTTTTATATAAGTAGCTAAATCTGAAAAAAATAGCTGAGAAAGAGAAAAAAATATAGTAGTTTGTCAAAAATATAAGAAGAATAGATTCTACTATTAAATTATTGATTTGAATCAAAAAATCTATAAAAACTAATTTTGTATTTTTTTAAAAATAAAAAAAGGTATTCATTATACTACATTTATAATTATTTATAATTTTATCTATAATAATTACTACTGATTTATTTTCAAATAAGAATTTAATTTGATTAAAATAGGTTTTAAAAACTTGTAGTAAATAGATTTAATATAAGGTAAATATTTGAGAAATAAATCCTTTTTGCTTTATATATTTTTGAAAAAAAAGAAGAAGTAAATTCATTTTTTTTAAAAGTATGTTAGCAATAATAAAAACATGAATTAAATTTTCTATTAAATTTTTTTTACTATAAGCAATTAAAATTTGAGATAATTATCTTTTATTGTAAAATAACTTCATTGGTTCTTTATTTATTTTTATATTCTTTTTTTATACAATGAATAATATCATAAATATGATCATTAATAGTTGATTTTTTTTACTTGATAATATGATTATAATAAATGCAAAGATAACACTATCATTAATTTTAAAATTAAAAGGTATTTAATTACATGAGTATATATAGTTACTTTGTTTCAAACTATATTTATTAATAATTAACTATAAAAAGTTTATTGCATATGTTTATATAATAGAATTTCAGAAACGTAGTTTACCACATGCTCATATTCTGTTAATATTAGTACTAGAAAATAAGCTGCAATCTGCAATCTGCAATCGATTATAATTTTATTATTTTTGCAGAGATTTTAGACCCTGCAGTTTATCCTCTTGCATACGATATAATAACAAAAACTATGATACATGATCTGTGTAGTGTAATAAATCCAAATGCATTATGTATGAAGAATAGTATGTACCAGAAGAATTATCCTAAGACCTTTCAAGAAAATACTTAAGAAAATGATAATAGATTTCCAGTTTATCATAGATGAGATAATGGCCATTTTGTTAAAATTAAAGGTGATATTTAATTAAATAATAGATGGGTCATATTACATAATATTAACTTAATCACAAAATATAACATACACATCAATATTGAGATTTGCTCTTCTATACTAGCAGTAAAATACCTATATAAATATATATACAAAAGTCATAATCGTACTACTATTATCTTTTCCAATCTGATTAACTAATATCATCTGAGACTCACTCAATTAATGAAATCAAAAACTATTTAGATGCGAAGTATATTTTGACTTCAGGAAATATTTGAAGAATTTTTCACTACAGAATGTATGGTTGTACTCCAAGTGTATAAAGATTCGTTATTCATTTTCCAAATCAACAACCTATTACTTATCAAAATAAAGAAAATTTATAACACGTTATAGAAAATGCTACTATATGTAAAACTACTTTGTTAGCTTAGTTTCAAAAAATATCAAAAGTACTGCTGCCTATAGATATATTGACTTTCCACTCTATTTTACTTGAAATATATCTCATTATAAATAGAAATTACGAAAGACTTCTATATCAGCAATTAAATAACTTTATATTATACAACCATCAGAGGGTAAAAGATATTATCTGCGATTATTACTCACCCATCTCAAAGGTACAATAAGCTTTGAAGACCTAAAAGCTATTAGTAAACATGTGTGTTTAATCTTTAAAGAAGCTTGTATTCAACTGAACCTTCTTTAAAATGATATTAATGAGATGCATATTTACATAAGACAAGTGAATTGAAGACTAGATAATAACTATATCATTTTTTTGCAATAATCCTTCTATTCTGTCAACTATTAGCACTTAAAATACTATAAAATAATCATAAATTATCATTATGTAAAGATCTTTTATACCAATATAATACTAATATAAATAATTTAATTAAAAGCGATACTCTTAATCAATTAGAATATTATCTTTTGTTGAATGAAAAATCACTTAAAGATTTCTCAAATATGTTTTTTCCAAATGAAGAAGTAACAGATACTAATAATAAAGACTTAAATCAGCTAATTTGAAAAGAAATATCATATAATATTACATAATTAGAAAGTGAAGTTCTTCAAAATGTTACTTTGTTAAACAAAGATCAGCGTGCTATATATGATAATGTTATATTTGCAATTGAACATGTGTCTAGATATTTCTTTATAGATAGACTAGATGGAACTAATAAAACTTTTCTATACAATATCCTACTCATAAGTGTCAAATTATATGAACAAATTGCAGTAGCAGTGACTTTTTCTGGAATTATCACACTTCTGATAAGTGGTGATAGGACAGTATATTCTCAGTTCAAAATTCCAATCAAATTGAATGAATTTTCAATATGCAACATTTCATGAAAAAGCAAGAAGAGCCATTTAATTAACAAATCCAAACTTTTTATTTAGGACGAAGCTCTGATGATACACAAGTTTGCAATTGAGATTATTAACCAAAAATTCTGTGACATTACTTAAAAAGAACTACTGTTTGGTGGAAAAACTTTCATCTTTGGTGATAATTTTCATCAGGTCCTATTAGTCATTCTGCATGCATCTCGTACTAATGTTGTCTCAATAAGCTTATGTTAATCAACAGTATAGAAAGACTTAAAGATAATGAAGTTAACAATTAATATAAAACTTCATTAAACCTTTAATGTTCAAGATGATCTAAATCAGACCAATTTTACCAAATTCCTTTTAAAAATTAGTGATGGTAAGTATCTGATCATTTCAGATACAGAAGACATGGTTGAACTTCCTTTAGATATAATAATATCTAAAGAAAATTTGAAAAATTTAATTGATTTCGTCTATTCGAACTTGGTTGAGAATTTTGCAAATACAAATTATTTTGTTGATAGAGCTAACTTAATTTCAAAGAATATTCATGTCAATGAAATTTCAGATACTATCATAGAAAGGTTTCCTGGTAAAGTTCATCTATACCCAAGTGCGGACTCAGTAGATTCAATAGAAAACAGTAATACTGACCAACCTCAAATATATTTTCCCAAATTTTAAAGATTACAGGACCTTCTCCTGGTGAATTGAAGTTGAAGGTGGAAGTACCAATCATACTTTTATGAAATTTGAACCCTACAGAAGGACTTTATAATGAAACTAGATTAATTTGTCATTAGTTCCAAAGTAAAGTGATTGATGCAGAAATCATTACAGGATCTCATATTGGTAAACATATATTTGTATTTCAGATTACATTAATTCCTTCTGAAAGTAACCTGCCATTTATTCTAAAAAGATGACAATTTCCAGTGCATGTTGCTTTCTCTATAACAATTAATAAATATCAAGGCCAAACATTAAACCACCTGGGAATCTACCTACCACAACCAGTTTTTTCACATGGTCAGCTTTATGTTGCCCTATCAAGAGTTACTTCATATAACTGCATCAAAGTTATCACGAGCAAAAATGACCTGAATTCTCACACATCAAACGTTGTATATATTTTCAAAATTAGCATTAAAATCTTAAAATCAAACATGAATTTCATCAAATAAATTTCATCGGAGTTCTTACAAGTGATACTAACCCGAATTCTCTGAATTTTACCAACTGACATTTAAAAATTTTTGATTAAATAATCAGCAAATTAAAAATGATCGTTATTTGCAGATTAATACAGAGCTCTAGACTTAAGGATTTTATAGTCCCGTTGCAAAGCAACGGGTTACCAACTAGTAATTAAATATTTATGTTGTTGATTAAGAATTCATTTTTGAAAATTCGAAATATGTAGAAAAGATAAAAAATTAAAAAAGTGTACAATGAGTTATGATTGGCTGAAATACTGCTGACCGTACAGCACAGTTTATCTAAAAGACCCAGAGAGAAACAAAATCACCTCCACCACAAGCCCTGACGCCAATAAAAGAAGAGTCGATCACGAAAAGATCAAACAGTAGGTTCAAGCTAAACAAGTTAAACATCATATTTGTTTTTGTACTTTCACTTTAATATTTTCTTATCTTTAGATACATTGAGTCAAACCAGATTGTGTGCGCATCTAGTATAAATGCATCCGAATTGGAGGATCTAGTAGGAAAGGATCTTTCAAAAAAAGATATTCTCATACCGAAAGCTAATGCCCTCCATGTGGACAGAAAGTTTAGAGAAATACTTTACAATGCGTTAGATGTGAGTCAATATGATTTCTTCATTGAATTATCCAGCGTGATTATATCAAATTGACATATGTAATATATAGGGACCAGTCCAGCAAAAGCCGGATAGTGTACGACGATTAGTATTGAATAAATCGAGCCCTGAAATATTTCGGCTGAAAGGCTCAGCACCGACCCCAATACATGTGAAATAAAAATAACATCAATGCCAATTAAGTATAAAATTGACCCGAGGGTCTTTTATTTACATCAAGCTCTTATCTCGTAAAAATATAGTTGTAAAATTTTGATTTATAAAAAATTTATGTCTATTTTGAATAATTATTCTCGGCTGATTTAGAATACGTGAATAAAATCCCAGATTTTTTTAGTACTGTGTATTACACTGGTGAATGTAAAGATCATAAATTTACCCAACTACCCAACTTCTTCTTTTTATTTCTGGCATTTCCCAAACCTTTATATCCGAATGTTTAAACTCCATCCAATTTTTTACTTTTTTCAAATTCGATTTGTTATCGAAATACAAGTATATAATCTGCCTTTCTTTTCTGTACCACCACCCAAACAATTGTAATGAAAAAAAACAATCCATTACTTCTTCACCCTTCCAATTTCCAACCGTTTCACCATCGGTTATTTCAAGGATATGATTTTTCCCAACGGGGTCTTGTCCATATGCATATGTAAAGTATTTATAGTAATTATCCAAAGGATAGAACGAGGAGGAATATTCCGTGAGATCACCGGATACTCCTATATTAGTGGGAATTCACTTAGATAACTTATTTGACTACAAACACAAACAAAGCAGAGTTTCATACCTGATCGCCAAAACCATGTTTCGACCTTCCAATTATGATTCAGAGCCCGTTTTACTACAGGAAAATAATCACCATCTCCAGAAACTAAAACAAATATACCAGGATCTCTAGTCCAGATAACATCCATTGCAGAAGCACCTAGTTCCATATCAACTTTATTTTCTTTATTTTCTATATTTCGATCAAACACGACTACATCATAACCTTGACTTTCAATCCGATCCCATAGCGAATCGTTCGGTGGTGGACGAGAGCCGACAATAATCGGATTGCTACCCATTTGTCGTCCATTCAGTACCGCTGATAGAAGACGACCATGGTCGATATGGAGCTGGTTGAGGTAGTGGGAATTTCTTTGTTGATCAAAGGTGCCTGCGGATTCTAATCGACCTACAGTAAACTTTCCTTCGATAAATAAGTTTGAGTTGTCCACAAAACGGACACAAGACTGGTGGGTGATTTTGAAGTGCCTGCTACAAGGAAAACTTTTGGTAAAAGTTATATTGAAGACAGATTCTGACCCCACGAGAAAAGCAGTGTAGGTTTAGTATATTCGAATGCAGTCTTGGTACTTACCTTTTACGATAACGCGAACGTGTTTTTTGGGCGGGTTTGACGATAAGAAAAGCACAAGATTAAGTAAGTATTTGGTATTATTTGCGAATATGACGCTTCAAAAAGCAACAACGTTTAATATTTTGGTCCTTACATACCATTTAATAATTCCCTTAGGTACATAAGCCGAATTTCATCATTTGGACTGCGTCTAAGGGACTTTTCCACCTCAGCTGTTTCATTGGGGTTTTTGGTGAAATATTTGAATAACTTCACCACTTCAACTCCGGTGAGCTTCTCATTATCAATGATGGAAAGACGGTTAACTTCTTGATAGACATAGTCCCCTTCTGTTGAAGACATGTCACTATATTTATATAAAATAATAGTTTCTCGGAAAGATTTTTTTTTTTTTGCAGATAGTATATATATGTTAATTTGAATCAATGATCATCTGAGATACCGCAGCTGTAATCTGAGACAATCTAGTCAATTATAGTAAATGCGCATTTAGTCAATTATAATAAAAGTTTATTTTATGAAAACTTTCGTTTTTATTTTTTGAAAATATTATAAATTTTTTTTAAAAAACAAAAAAAAAAACAAGATCTTTAATATAAAAAATGTAATTTTATAATTATAAAATAAATTTTTAATTAATAAAACCTTTATGCTTAAAAAACATAAAAAATGTAAAAAAAGCATTATAAATTTTCTATTTTATTCAATTGTTTTTATGTTAAGCCTTAACACTTTGCAAATTAAATTTTACCTAAATATAAAACGGTATACAATGATGCGACTATCTATTATTTTTCAATCCTGATCTTTTGTTTTGCCCGCTATGACATCTACTCCCACATTTTTCATCCGATTTTTTGCAATGACATTTGTTATTATTACAATCACTTTTACAGTTACATAAGCCCCCTGATATTGACCCAACACTTTGAAGTTGTGAAGCTTCTCTTATTGATATTTTATTAGAAGGAATATTTTCTAGTTCAGGAAAAAATGTTGTTCTAAGTGGTTCTAACTCACTAGCAGAATAACAGACTTCAAACTTTGATCCAACTTGATATCTATAATTTTTTTCATAATTTTACATGGAACTGTAAGATGATCAGTATTAATCTATCAATTTTAGGAATAGCTACTCTTATCAGTATTAGCAAATGACCTTGTCATTTAGTTTAAAATATGATCTTTTGTCATTTGGTCATATGACCGATGGTCATTTTGTCATTTGTCATAAAATTACGACGCATGTCATATGATTTATATGATCATTAATCATATGATATAACCTTAAATTTATTGTAAAATTGTAATAGATTTAACGTTCCAAACGTCAGAGACGTCAAAATATTGTAATTTTGTAATAATTTAACATTCTAAATGTCAGAGACATCAAAATATTACAAATTGTAATAAATTTAACGTTCTGAACGTCAGAGGCGTCAAAATATTACAAATTGCAAAAATTTAATATTTCAGAAGTCAGAGGCGTCAAAATATTGCAAATTGCAGTAAATTTATTTTTAATTTTAATTTTATTTATTATTTTATTATTATTTATTATTATTTCCAAATAAAATCGAAATTATATATACTCTTTTTTGATTGGTTAAAATTATATGACAATATCATAAGATCATAAATGTTTATAAATAACAAATGACAAATAACAAATCATGTAAGTCATATAGATCATATGATATCATATGCCAACACTGACTTTTACAAGATTTCCAACCTGATATTCTATAATTTGTTTTTTCTTTTTGTTAGAGCTCTGAATCAGGTCAGGTTAACCTGTTTACCTGACCTGACCTGACCTGAAAATCCAGGTTATATCAATAGATTTTCAGGTTAATGTCAGGTCAGGTCAACAGGTCAAACTGACCTGACCTGACCTGACAAAATTCAGGTTAACCAATCATCATTCTTGAATGATGTTTTATAATTCAATTAGAACGATTCATTATCATTCTTGAATGATAGTTTTATCATATGAAAATGATATTTTATCATCTGAGAATGATATTTTTATTATCTAAGAATGATAGTTTTATCATTCAATTAGAATGATTTATTATTATCTGAGAATGATAGTTTTATC